AATTGGACGATCATTCTATCAGCTTATGATATTTCCATCTGATTTATTTTCATCTGAAACAAACACCGTCCAAATTAAGTTCCAAGATGAGCTCGCATCTGTTTTTATGATATTTGTCAATTAAGGTTTTGGATTAAGATGGAAGTAATTTAAAACTTTTCATCAGAGAAAGTAAGTGAATATTAGATCGAAGTTACTCGATATGTCAGTCTGTTCAGTAGGGCTGCAACGAATACACTATGAGGCGAATATGATATGTTTTACAGTTATGGGATTATGGGGTGGGGGGAAGCCTGATAGTTAAAGCGTTTGCTCATCACACCGAAGGCCTGTGTTCGTCATCATTCTGGGCTTCTGTAGGGACACCATTTCTGGTGTCCCCTGCCATGATATTGCTGGAATATTGCTAAAAGTACTCAGTCACTCACTTTTAGAGGGAATATATAGTAACGACCTTATATGATTTCTTTCATGAATACTTTTTGTTTTCATATCAAGAAATTAAAATAATAAACATGTGATGTAATTGCTTAAGTTGAAACATTTAATGATGATTTCCATAAAGCATAAAGAGCAATACATTGGGACAATGCCACTTATATACCCTTGGCAAAATAACACAAGTTAACGCTACTGTGTGGCTTAGATATATTCCATTTTGCATATCTCACTTTGATATTCATGTTAAACACTCTCTAAAGAGTATTCGTAAATATTCTAGTGATGATGAATAATGAATTGAATTCATGAAACGATACATTTGGATTCACCGAATACGCGAGTGAATTATAACAAGACTACTGATCAACACTGGATAGTTCTACAAAAGACTGCCAGTCTCCGACCAGTATTTCAGGCCTGACTGTGTCAGGGACATGCAGAGATTGTCCCTCTTAAGTTGCTATCCACTAGGATTTACCTGATACAGAAGGAAGAAGATTTCCCCCAGCAAGCCAAGAGTCCAAATCACCAATTATGACATTCACTGCCAAGTCTATCATGGGCGATTGAAATTCATGACATTCTTGTTTTTTATGCTGATAGAGAGTCAAGTTTGATGCGCTTCTAACTTGCTTGTGTTTAATGGTATATTCAGATATGGAAGAAAACTGTATATTTCCATCTCAAGTACTGTTCAGCATTTACACGTATGTATATAAGTGTGATAGGAAAACATTACAATGTAAACTGGGCATTATTCTGATCTATCTTTGGTCGTGTACTACTGGAGATGGACGTTTTGCTCATGTGACACTGTTGATATGAAATCGTTCATATCGACCAAAAAGCCTAATTTTGTTTTGGATTATTCCAGCTTTCCAGCAGGGAAATATCAATAAGTAAGTAGGTGAAAGAAATCAGATATATATTCCCAGAAAGTCATCTGGCTTACCGATTCCATCAGTGGCGTCACGGATCTTGTCTGATTTATAGAACCGATGATATTAGTCTGATGAAAGGGGCAAGTGGATCGACACAGGACATTGTGTCATGGTGCAGTTCCGGGATAAATTCAGGGGTCAATTATGAAGATTGTCATAAAAACAACTAAAATGGGGATTTGTTGGCCACAATGGTACATTAAAACAGATATGGAGCTTTAATCAGAAAAAGCACCCAAGCTCATTTAGTGTCGGACAGACAGTAGCCTTGTGGAAATAGTTTGCAATGGCTGTTCAAGGTCATTAATCCTGTTTCAGATGGCTGATGTAGCTGTGATGCTGCTAACTGTCTGCTACGCCATTCAGCGTGTTGCTGACCGCAGTGATATGGCAAAGATATTGATAACTGGTGTAAAACTCATTCACTCAGAGGCCTAGCTTGTTCTTCTGCTCGGCTGTTCGAGGTCATTCATTGTGTTGCCGACCGCTGTGATATGGCAAAGATATTGATAACTGTGGTGTAAAACTCATTCACTCACTGGCCTAGCTTGGACTTCTCCTGCATGGATGGGCAAGACAAGAACACAACAAATGAATTAACAGTGTTATTGTTCTCAGAACAGTCGAACCTCACATGATAATTTGTCTCAGTTGATCTCAAAATCTCCTGTCACAGCACATGTGTGATACACAGATTGGATTTATTCAGACTAGATGGGGTCCCGCTGTTATGTTTTTTCACATAGAAATTGAATCTTATCACCTAAAATATTTTCTTCATTACCAATGTGACACTTAGCGTTCATCCTTAATTTGAAATCTTGGTTGTTACCTGATGACAGTGTATTTAAAGCACGGAGTTTCATTCCAGAAAGCAATCTTAGTAGTAGGGTCTATGTTAAATATGTCCATTAGCGCTAAGATCACTTCAAGAAAAAGGACCCAGGAGATATAACAGTGACAGCTCTTAATTATTCTGCAACGACTTTTCTACTGAGGATTATTATTCATGAAATCAAATCCATTTATACTGTGAAATTAACAGATTTTTGCCATATTGAGAATGAACCCTTTCTTTGGCCGCAATATGTTCACCACCAGGTACCGTATGTTTTAACTGTATATCTTTAACACAGAAAGTGTTTATGATTTCAGCTGTCGCAGGTGTGCCTTCATGTAAAGATTCAGGTTACAATTGGTCTTCAGGAACCCATGCTTGTCATAAGACAAGACAAGTGCTATCTGGTCAGGCTTGCAGACTTGGCTGCTGCATGTCATTGTATCCCGTTTGCTTATAATGTCTATCACAGGATTGTTTGGTCCAGACTTGATCATTTATAGACCATCGTCATATACTTGGAAAACTGCTTGGTGAGGGGTGAAACCACAAGGAAACAAACCAACTTCCTGATGTCGTCACCAGATCAATGACAGAATGTGTTCCAATCTCATATCATTTTACACTGTCAGTGTAAAGATGTGATGGATCTCTCAGCCGCGTATGTCAGATGTATGTATGACTGTATGTATGACTGTCTTCTGATGAATGTTCACACTGATACCGTCTCAATAGGAACACTTTGTACAGCCTACAAACATATATCACATGAACCAGATTCAAATAGTGGACTTGTTGAAGAACTGTGCACACAATATGATCTACATAGCTAGTAGTTGACCTTCTATTTTCCCCGTCTTGGAAACAGAGACAGTGTAGTTATGAATTTAATCCAGTTATTAATTTTTGCAAAAAAGTGATATACAAGATGTGCTGGGGCTTAATTCCGCTTGACCAAAGGGTGAGTCTATGATTGTGTTTCCGCTTGACCAAAGGGTGAGTCTATGATTGTGTTTCCGCTTGACCAAAGGGTGAGTCTATGATTGTGTTTTGTGAAGTCCCGGCTCATGCTTTTTGTCGAGTCGAGTCATGGATGGTAGTAACAGTGCTTGGTTGGTCACTCACTCCAGGGAGCAGTATCAGCTGACAGATGAGTGAAGAGGGTGGCAGAAACTAAGTACTCACTCACTCACTCACTCAATCACTCCAGGGAGCAGGATCAACTAACAGATGAGTGAGAAGGGATCGCATAGTACATGTTCCTCAAGTTCACTTCCCAGGCCAACACAATCCTATTGTTCCTTTACCACTTCCCCGTGTGCGTAATGCTGAGTTTGTTTGAGCAATGACATGAATATTTACCACTTGTTATGGTTCAAGTTATTCAGTGGCTAAAGTCTCAAGTAGATGAGATCCAATAATGGGTACAGTTAAGCAGATGAATGATGCTCTCTACACTCGGGCCAGGGCTCTGAATCCCACGTCCGCCATTGATTGATAGATTGGCACCCAGCTACATGCCCCGGGGGCACCCGGACTGATATGGGGAATATTTCGGACAGACAAATTGTTTTTGGCACATGCACATGGATGGAATATGAAAATATTATTCATTAGACTGACACTCCTGGTGCTACAATGCTAACTGAAGCATTGTGGGTAATCAGGACGTTTGTGAGTCTGTATGTCATTGAGGTCGGGTTGTCCAGGTGCTATAATGCTAGCTGAGGCATTGTGGGTAACCTGGACACCGTCAGTATGTCAGTTCGTGTTCTCCAGGTGCCGTGATGCTTGCTGAAGCATTGTGGGAAATTTTGACGTTTGTGAGTCTGTATATCAGTGTGGTCATGTTCTCCAGGTGCTGTGATGCTTGCTAAAGGATGATGGGTAATCTGTACTTTGGGGAGTCTGTATGTCGGTGAGGTCATGTTCTTCAGGTGCTGTGATGCTTGCTAAAGGATGATGGGTAATCTGGACTTTGGGGAGTCTGTATGTCGGTGAGGTCATGTTCTTCAGATGCTGTAATGCTTACTGAAGCATTGTGGGAAGTCTGTATATCAGTGTTGTTGTATCCTCCAGGTGCAATTAAGTCCAAGGTTGACCATAGATCATAACCATGTTCTTTGACAACATATCAGACTACCGCGATGATAGCTTGAAAAGGTTGCCTTGTTGGAAAAGATACCAGTGGTGTGTGTAGGATCTGATCACCCACCTTTAACATGTCTGACTGTCATGGCTGGAGCCTGGCTGCTGTGAGTGGGCAGACTGCTGGTTATTGGTGATTTTATACTTAGTAACTCAAAGTTTGCTGCAGTTCACCACCTTAAACTGTAATATGTCAAACTGTGTCCATCTGTTGCAGGGCTTGATTCAGTGCTTTGTTACTTGCACTGGTGCAACCCAATATTACACAGTGCAACCTAGTGCAAGTCAATTTTTGAGAAATGCTTCAACAATAAATCAAACATAATCTAATATATGCATAATTATGTCAGCTCATTTTTCTTCTAAACTTTGAATAATTCAATAGCATGTTTCTTTCATTATATATTGCAATAAAAGCAGTGCAGCTGGAATTTGGCTGGTGCAACTAGGTTTTTATCTTAGGTTGCACCTGGTGCAAGTAGTTTAGCATCTCTTAAATCGAACCCTGTGTTGATAATGAACAAGATTGCATGAAGACATGTTTCAAGTCTGTTGTCAGTTGCCACGTTATGCCAACAAGCAATGTGACCAATAATCACCCATTGAAATAACAGCATCTGACCAAAACTGAATTGTCAAAATATCAAGAAAACAATCTTTATCCGAAAAACAATTCCAGTAGCACAAATTGTGGTCAACAGGCTGCCACCATTGTCTCATACTCCCAGTAACTATCTGGATGGTCCACTATAGGACATGGGGCATGATTCTTCCAGTTCTACCCAGCCTGCTCAAAGTGGCGTGAAACCCAACTCACTCACTCATGTCAGGTCAGGCCAGAGATGCGAATGCATGCTTTCTGTCTGCAGAGATCAGCCTCAGTGAGTGAGTTTAGTTTTACGCCACACTCAGCAATATTCCAGCTATATGGCGGCGTCCTCAGAGTAAGATTATGCACTGTTTGTGTAGAAACATCAATACTGGCATGCTGTAGGTCATTTCTGAGTGCAGTATCAGCCATGAAGTGATATTGTCTTGTTGCAGTTACGACAAACATGTCTTCCTTCTGTGTTTTGGAATGGTGTCAGCAACGTTCATGTCACCGGGTAGCCGCTCCAAACGTCTGGTATCGATTCTATGTCCTGCTGATCACACTTTGACTGACACATCAGACATGACATTGTGTTGATCCAGTTTCAAGCATGTCTGTGCATCTGCCTAATTCTTTGGTCATCAAACGATGTCTTTGATGTTAAGTGTGATCAGTGGTTGCCGTCCTCAGTGTCAAATATTGTTCTTCCCTCTGATAATGATGTGCCACAATTCTGTCCTGGTACATCAAGACACAGGATTTCATGCCCGTCTGCTCATCGTGTCCTTAGCTGCATGCCTCTGTCCATCCATCATGCATGGACGTAATATCTTGGTTACCCTTTCATTAAAATACACAGGTACACAATCAGAATTTGTTGGGTGAATTACATATAAGTCTGTAGACTTATGTTTACGTTAATCACTTGAGTATTGCAGCTGCATATGTCACTCCTGTAGTTTTAATTTGGTGTTGATGGACCAGGTATTGCACTGTCACACCTCCCACCTATGCTTGGCAGCCTTGCCATTACAGTTGTGTCATACCCCTCTGCAGCCCAAACCCACCCCCACATATAAATGCGACCCACCTTACCATCACTGTTGTGCCATTCCCTTACATGCACCATACCACCCCCAGCCCCAGCCCCACCCCCACCCACACACTCACTCAAACTGACTCAGAGAGAGAGAGACAAAATAGAAAGAAAAAAATCAATCCATGTGCTCCAGTCGTTTGTTCAGCACAAGAGAAAGAGCAAGCGTCTGTTCTACCACCCAACCTAGCAACCTTACCCCACACAAATGTCCACCACAACCCAGTGTTCCACTTAAGATCCCACCTTACCAATCTTTTAACACCCAGACAGGTTCATAAGTAACAGAATGCACTTAGCTACAAAAAGATACTGTTGCCAGGATCACCAAGTCCATCAGAAATTGCCTAACTTAAATCCTGATCAGCCCCCATTAATCTGCTTCTTCCTGTTCTAGCCTCTGGCGGTGCCCACCACCAGCTCCGAGCCAAGTCTAGCTGCAAATTAGGGGAATCTTGTTAGCATGGGGTCAGGCTGGACGTCCAGAGTGTATCAATAATATCACATTAGTCAGGAAGAAAAATGAGATATGAATTGTCTGCTACGCAGTGGTGTCCGTGAGGGGTATGGGTGAAGATGAAGCTGATATTTAATGAACTGCTTACCTCAATTTTAGCAAGCATTGAATTGGGCAGGCCTCAAGATTATGGGGTTCATTATGAAGACATGATTTGAGAAGGGTCAGGAAATTAAAGGGGAAAGTGGAACCGCAAGATTATTGCATCGGGATGGGAGAAATCGCTGGTGCAATTTGTGGGAGGCTGGAAACCTCTGGCTAGTTACAATTACTGTTGAGTCAGAATAAATAGAAAGTGATTTTTTTGTCGACACTCTGAGAGTGAAAATTCTAAATTTTGTTGTGTTAATTGATTATAGTTCCGAGTAAATGATTAAACGGACAAATTTTTTCTGTAGTCTCTTAAACCATTTGTGAAAATGCCCAAGCGGGTTTCTTTTTTCCATAATGGTACTTAGAAAAAGAATTCTTTCGTTGGCATAGATTGAATGGTTTCATCTCGTCCTGAAGGTTTAATTGGCTAACAGGAGTTTTTGTTGAAAACAGATTACACTTTTCATAACAAAGACTGTGGATCTATGGGCTCAGGCTCAATGGCAGAGTTTTTCTCATTGTGGCTTTCGTATGTGATTCTATTACAGGGACATTAGATTCCACTTCCTCAATAGCTCCTGTTCATCAGATGCAAACTTGATATGATGGGTCTGGGGCGGTTATTGTTCCGAAAGTATTGCTAAGTGAGGCATGTGTTCATCTTCCATGTAGCTGGTCCCTCTTTAGTAGTTGTTGGGAAGTTAGCTCAACTGGTTACACATGAGTAGACTTACACAGTTGTGTATCACACCATGCTATTGAAGTGTTTAAACTGTTTCTATGGGTATCTGGTAGAAATGTTTTGTGGGTTTACCAAAATATGGTACCAATGCATGGAATGTCAATCAATCAAAATGGTAATTATAAAAATCTTTGGTACTAATTGAAACCAAACTGTACTCAGTTGTTTTCAATGGTAGTAAACAAACTATTCAAATTGTATTAAAATGGGGAAAAAAAAGAATAATATTTACTTGACAAGTTTTTATCGCTACAGGACATATGATTAAACAATTCCCAATGAATTTCAAACAAATTTGAAGAAGTATGTCCAAAAATGATGTTTTCAGATATAATATAGTCCAGTGTTGAGTTATTTCAGTTTCAGATTTTAATATATGTTTAAAATAACAACATGCATGACAGTGATTGTTATGATCGCATATATTTCATGTATGGAGCTATTTGACAAGTCACTGTCAAGGCTCCTTCACTCATCATCACGTAAGCATCATGTTGACATATCGTCTAACTGTAACAAATGTGAGTTTTAATAAGTCGCAGGACAGTATTTATGACACATGTCTACATTCTCTGTCAACTGAACTTTGTTTCTGGCCATCAGTAGGAGTAATATGACCATGGTTGTTGTAGATAATGGTGAATTGGTGCACTGCTGATGACTTCACTGATCAGATTTCGATGAAGTTAATGTGAGCAATATTGAATAAAATCTTTAACAAAATTTTTGATAAATGAATAAACACAGAAGTCAAAATATACAATGAACCCTTTTTTTAGCCAGTTATGTATGTTTAATTTAAAAAATCAGCTGGGTTTTTTTAAGAAAAGGGTGCTTTATGGTCGAGAATATGATGTTGGTTATAGTTCATTGTGACCTGTTCGTGGTGGGCAGTTGTTTTAGGTCAACTCACATAAGTATGGAGAGATGAATCAAGGTTACAGGTAAGTTTTTTGGAGGTAAATGGTGTGAACACCAAGCTTCGGGCAGGGTAACAAAAAGTACCATCGTTTAACATTTTGGTTTGATTTGGACTATGATAAAGCCACCAGCCTTCTCTTTACCTGGCAGATGTTCAGTCCACTAGACCATTGAGTTGTTTAGCTCATAGTTGTACCTGAATAAGGAAGATTAGTCTGTGTAGAGAGTGAGTGAGTGAGTTACAGCTGCTGTACTGTCACCTAAGTATGGGGGGAGTTTGAGTCGTGACCAATGGTGGTAATAGAGCAGGATCAGTATCATGGCAAAAACATATATATGTTTAAATAACACTGCTCTCTATGCTCTCTATGCTCTCAGTTTGGTTGGTTGATTGTTGTGTAACATCGCACTCAGCAATATTCCAGCTATATGGTGCCAGTTTGTAAATAATCAAGTCTGGATTAGAACTGATCTGCAGTAACCCATGCTTGTCGTAAGAGGCGACTAACATGATCGGGTGGTCAGGCTCACTGACTTGGTTGACACATGTCATCGTATCCCAATTGGGTAGATCAATGCTCATGCTGTTGATCCCTGGATTGTCTGATCCAGACTTGATTATTTACAGACCGCCGATTATAGATGAATATTGCTGAGACCGCGGCGTAAACCTAAACTCACTCACTCACTGTGGCAATAGATGCTCATAATATCAATCTTTGAATTCTCTGTCAGGTTTGATTATTTTTAGTGATGTATGAATTCAGTGCTGTGACAAACAACGGTTAGTCTCAAATTCCAGTTAATCATGAGTTATGGACCATTATCGCATTCGAATTGAAAAGGAAATAGGTTACGAACAATACCTTAAATCAAATCTTTGCAATAAAGACATATTTCACGATATGTTTGAGAGAAGCATTGTGACATTAATTGGCTGAAACATTATATTTTCAATAAATTGCAAATCTGGTTTTATCAATGCCCATGCCTGACTGTCAAATGTCATCCAGATTCCCCTGAATATTGATTGCCTATCCCTGACAGGCTCCGTTGTCACTCTGTGTGGATGATGTGTGCTTCTGTGATAAACCTGGGCGTCGTCTTATCACTGTGTAATGAAATATGTATTGCATTTGAAGGTTTAACTAGCCAGAAGGTGGTTCTGTGATATGTCTTAATAATGCAGTTGAGCGCTATGTATGATAATTGAGGCCAATGTTAGTAATATGTTTCTCTTATTTTGGTCAGGATCAAAATGATATGACAACACAAATATTTATTTTTTGATGAACTACTATCAGTGACCTGAGAGTTGTTCAGTATCGGTCATGTTTGTATGTTCCATTTGGTGGATAGCAGGTTGCAGTTACCTCCCCTTGGTTAGAAGTCAGCCACTAGGGGTTTGGAAATGCACACATGGACATACAATTTCTGTTGTGTCTGTCGATGATGGTAGTTGAGTGTGACATGATGATGAAGTACTATCCACATTGTCAGATATCAACTTTCAAAATTGTTTTGAACAATGTATGACAGTTGTTTCAAAGTTCAGCATTTGTTTGACAAGGCTTTCTTGTCAATGTAATTCAGCACAACTGAAACAGGGAATACATTTTCAGCAGCTACACAGGTCAAGGTCATTCAACAAGCTTTTTGTAAATTTTCCTGAAAAGTGGATTTATTCACTAATTTTCACAAATTTAATGTTCTGTTTATTGTAAATTCTATTTTTTTAAATTAAATTGTAACAATTCATTCATGGCACTGTACTGACCTTGAGGTGACACTTTATGAAGTCCGATCATCTTGTTCTACCCATGTTCTAACTATCCACATTTAGGCCAATGTTCCCGTATCACAATATTAAAACCTTAACATGGCAACAGATATGATAGATACCAAGGTCTCTGTCAAATGTTCCCAGCTGGGAAACTCATGTACGTCTAGTCAGTTTATTAATAGTGTAGGTTATTATCCCCCGCCACGTGTTTAGCGCGAAGCGGGGGATATAGTATTAGGCTCCGTCCGTCCGTACGTACGTCAGAATTGGAATATCTTAAGTACCGTTGACTAGATTCTTTTCATACTTGGTACCTTGGTTCATCACAGTATAAGAAAGGTCCCAGTCAGGGACCTTCATTTCAAGGTCACATGGAGACTTGAACGTTATACCCTTGTCAGCAAGATATCTAAAGAACCGTTCACTGGATATTCTTCATATTTGACACCAAGCTTCATAAAGGGAAGGCACAGGGCCCAGTTGATTTTGGTGACCTTCCCTTAATTTTCAAGGTCACGACGACACTTTGAAGATTTCAGCATGTTAGCCTGCATGTTAAGCTTGTCAGCGAGATATCTCAAGAACCATTCACTGGATTTTCATCATATTTGACACCAAGCTTCATATAGGGAAGGCACAGGGCCCAGTCGATTTTGGTGACCTTCACTTAATTCTCAAGGTCACAGCGACACTTTGAAGATTTCATTATGTTAAGATTGTCAGCAAGATATCTCAAGAACGGTTCACTCGAATTTCTCTATAGACTTTCAAGACTTTTCTTGAATGTTTTTTTGATATGCAAAAAATAGTATTAGAGAAATTGATCTTGACATGTCATGGTGTATGAAATAAGCAAAGTGAGTCTTGAAAATATTTGTGTGTTTGAACAGCTACAGAGCAGAGCAAGATATCAAGAGAGGTTGACTCGTCATGTTTTCGTTGGCATTTAACTTCATCTTAAACTACGACCTTCACTTTCATTACTCTTTAGGTTTGATTTGACAATTGGCGACGGGGGATTATGTCACCTTTGTGAGAACTGCTTGTTTGATATTTCTTTTTATGTTCTATATATCTAAATTTTTATGCAGCTTCATATCTCAGGACAATAATCTTCTTTGGATTGCCTAAAGGCATGAGATGGGTTCAGGGCTGCTTTAGCTATATTCCTATATGGGGTGCCACCTTGCTGTGGGAGGATTATGTTGCCTGGAGTGGTACAGATCCTGACCATTTACTACTGTGGTGAAACATTTGTATGGGTATGGTCCTAACATTATCAGTCTTGGAGAACTACCTGGATATGAACCTCAGTCATATTTGTCTGCTGTGTCCAAATCAAATTGCATTGTCTTAGACGAGTGAGTCACCTTGGCTAAGGTCACTGATTGGATAGTTTCAAGACTCTATCAGTGACCTATGACTCCCCTATCACACTGCACTCACGTCCTGGTGATAAGGGCCCCAAAACAACAGGATAGGCCTGGGAACAACCTATTGAAACAAACATTTTAGTACATTGATTATCTGGTAACCAGTAAAAACATTTAGTCACATGCAGGGGTTGGGTGTAGTTTTGGGGTACCCTTTTATAAAAGTAGTCAGACCCAAAGAATAACATATATTGACCCATTAACACAATTTATGAACAACAACTTCTGAAAACTGACCTCTTGATACAGATTCGCATATGTTTTGTTCATTACGAGAGTATATGAGTACTAATAACATCTTAGTACTAAGCAATAACATTTAATAAAAATAAAGACAGGGATAAAAGTTCATGGTCTGTTTGTTGCTGATGGTCTGTTTAAACATTTGTCCAAATGGGAATAATTTGCTTTCAAAATTGCTCTTGTGCAAAAAAAACCAGTTACTATAATTGTGTGGTAGTTATACATTGTGTGGTTTTTCACATCCAGTGGTACTTATATTGTGTGTATGCTAGTGTGTTTTTTCACATTCCAGATAAGCATACATATGCTAGCAAGGTTGAGAATAATAACTGACACAGTCAACATCCATACATTTTATCATTTGATAAGAATCCCATTCACAAGGGACTGCAGTTACGATATGAATATAGGGATGGGGATATTGTGTTATCTGTTCCAGACTTGCAAACAGAATAATGTCATAGTCATGCATTTGACCATTAACAGATTCGTCTTGGCACTGCCCAGCTTGAATTACCAGATAAGTCTGGGATATGTTGAGGTCCCTGAACCAAAGTCCTATGAGAGACAGACTGAATCTGCTTATATATATCGTGGGGTCTTTAGCAATCTGAAAAAGTCATCTGTTTCAGTCACGGATTTATCATCATATTCTGTTTACAATGGCCCAACATTTGCTGAACTGTAAGGCTGTCTCTACTATTTTCTGTGTTTCATATCTCCCAAACTCCTTGAATTTTCAACCTGAGTTAAAAGAATAAAAATGTTTATTGCCTTAATTTTCACCACCACTGGGAAACTTTATGCCCTGATGTAACAAAAAACCTTACCTGTGCACACTCCATGTCAGCTTGATCTCTTTCATCTTAATGTAAAAAAGTATGTTTCCTAAGCCAAGCAATTTTGATTTACATTGTCTTAATATTAAATTAATAAACACATAAAATGTGTTTCATTAATAGTCTTTGTGTTTTCTTGCTCACCTCCTCTTTTGCTGGTTGAGGATGGAGATGAGAAACACATAAAGAGTGTGGATGGTCCACTGGTTGGTTGTTGGTTAACGCCAACCTCAGCAATATTCCAGCTATATGGAGCAGGTCTGTAAATAACGAGTCTGGACCAGACAATCCGGTGATCAGCGTCATGAGCATCATTCTATTCAATTTGTTATTCATGCATGAGTTATAAATGCATAGTGTTGTAAGTGAGTGATAATTGTTATATCCCCCAGTAATATCACAGCAGGGGACACCAGAAATGGGCTTCAAACATTGTACTAGGTCTGGAATCAATCAATCAAGGCCTTTGGCATATGAGCAAACGCTTTAACCACTAGGCTACCCAAACGTCACTCACCCTGAACTTGTCAAACAGTTATGATAACTTTGGGTCAAATATACCACCAGCAAAATGTGAGGGAAGTGATGAAGCCATGCTGAAGGTGTAATGTAAAATTCAGTTCGGGCATCTGCATCAATATCTGCTATATACACTCACATGTACTGGCATACTGATGACAGCTTGATCACAGGTACGTCATTGAGGATGAGTTATGGGACTGTACCAGTCCGATGTCTGTATGCACCTTGTCAGAGATAGTCGGTGATGACCTGGCCACAATGTCACCATCATGTGACTTTGGCATCTTGCAATCCAAATTTCTGTAGATTATTTTAGCAAACTGAACAATAAAACAGAAACTTTGGACAACGTACCGCTGACCAGTTAAATGTCAATCCACAAAAACCAAATCAGTTTGCCATGTGTAACACCACCCCAAGCCAAGACGTTACCATCACTATGATGCTGATATATAATAGTCAGGAATTGTTACACTGCTGTACTGCTCGTAGCTACATCTTCAAAACATTTTATACCATTTGCGGATCAGTGGCAAGATGTTCATTAATCTGTAATCATGGTGTAACGCCATTGGCCCACAGTCAATTTGCTGGTGTTGAGTAGCCCACCCCGATCTTTGCCACCGATGGTGAACCGTTAGGGTCACAGCCTTCACAGGACGCCTTCATTTCAGGCAGGCAGCAGGGAGCCGGTATTAAACTGTAGGTGATGAAATTGGCGTGAATGTTATCCACAAATATGGCTGCAGGGTTTCTCATGCAGTATTAAGTGTTATTCACTCTTTCTATTCAACGACTGTTGGTAATCCACAATTTTAATTGTCAGTATATTTCTTAAATGAACATTGTCAATGTTATTGCAAGATCAATTATTTAACCATTTTCCTATCAAGTACTATTATATGAAATGTTGCGGATTGAGTTGTTCTTTGAACAAGAAGAGGGGCGGTGGGGTAGCCTAGTGGTTAAAGCGTTGGCTCGTCACCCCGAAGACTCGGGTTCGATTCCCCACATGGGCACAATGTGTTAAGCCCATTTCTGGTGTCCCCCGCCATGATATTGCTGGAATATTGCTAAAAGCGGCGTAAAACTAAACTCAGTCAGTCAGTCAGTTTGAACAAGAAGAGTGGAACTTATGTTTGACCGACTCAGACTCAGGGCATCAGTGTCACTTAAACATAATATTATTTTATCATTCCCCAAACTTGTCAAATTTACAAATTAAAGGTTTGAAACTAGGAATCAATGTCGGTACACATCCTCTTCATCCAGTTCTATGACAGGCATTCTGCTCACAGAGCTGAATTAATTGTCCATGGATGCTATGTCGTCTTGGAGTCGTGTCTAGACCAGCCATCCTACATGTTGTTCCCCACGACCAGTAGAGCATACTGTAGCTGCCCGACTTCCATTATATCATATTATGTTGCCTCAAGCAATTTACTTGGTGGAGAATGCTACAAATTAGGCGCTGATGAAACACAGACTATCTGATTACTTCTTGAATACTGACGCAATGGAGTCTAATTCCAACATGGCATCTCTCAACAGATCAGACTTGCAAATTGGTCTCATTGAGAGGTTAGTGGCGGCCTGCAAATGAGACATTATTTCAGGTCCAGATTGAAGTTCTGTCAATGGGGACATGGTGCCTGGTATGAAGAGAATGTAACTACAGCTAGGAGCTTGTCATCAATTGTCCCTCTTAGACAGTGCATAGTGCACCTTTAACACAGTCACTCAGATATTGCACAGATTCGGAAGAGCAGTGGAGAGGTGAAAATTATGTATTGAATCTCGTCACGATTCCTTCAGGAAGTCCAGTGCTCATCCAGCTTAGTTTCAAGATTTCAGTGGTTGTTCCCAACTTTTTGAATTGCCTACTTCCTGCACTGGCATTGTTTTTGCCAGTAAACAGTTTCAAATTGCAGTCGGATCATTGCGGCTGAGCCGCTGTATAACCTGTTCCTGTGAATAGGGCCCCATCCCCGCCATCTGTTCCTGATGCTCTATACTTAGCCCTTGTCCCCAGGGGCCCTGTGATTTGATTATGTGCAGGTATTAAGGGCTCAGACAGCCCTTCATGTTCATCCCGGTGGTGATGCCTCCATTACCGGAGTGCCAGTGCCATTGAGAGCGGGGCCATCTTGAATGGTACAAAACATGCTGTAATCTATCAGGAAGACTCGGTAGGGCATTGTCAAATTACTGACCCAGAATGGATGTTGAATCCTGTCTATGACCGCTATTGTGTGGAGAATCTTTGGCTGCACATGGATGTGGATGTATTCGGGCTGACCTTCTGTATACTTCAGGAAACGGTGTTGCAATTAAAGGTATCATCTGTCTGATGTTTAACTGGTTGATGTGGCCATTAAGACCTACAGTTCTGTTAAGACCTTGGTTTACAAAAGCAATTTATCATGTATCTCAACACTGTGTTGCAGTGCCTCTTTGTGATGCGGGGTGGTGCGGTAGCCTAGTAGTTAAAGCGTTTGCTTGTCTTGCTGAAGACCCGGGTTCGTTTCCCCACATGGGTACAATGTGTGAAGCCCATTTCTGGTTTCCTGTGACATTGCTGGAATATTGCTGGTGTTCCCCGCCGTGACATTGCTGGAATATTGCTGGTGTTCCCCACCGTGACATTGCTGGAATATTGCTGGTGTTCCCCGCCGTGACATTGCTGGAATATTGCTAGAAGCGGCATGAAAACCATACTCACACATCATCTTCAGTGAATTTAAGACACTCACTCACTCTTGATGATGCAGGAGAGCAGAAGGTCGGTTTGATCCTCGGCTGCATCAAACCAAAAGATGTAAAACAGATGATACTTGTTGTTGCCCTGCCTGAAGCTTGTTATTGAACTTTTAGACTTTGAGTCAGCAATACCCAACTTGGATAACACATTCTAAGTTGTGAAGCTATTACATTTCAGTGGGCAATTATGGAATTGGCATTAGTCCAGCCTAGTACAAGCAGCCTCATACACATGCACATTAATTGCTAGTAATCTTGCGTACTATAGAGTACTGTAAGCATTGCAATATACCCCATTTCAACTCATCTCACCTCTGTTTATTGCAAGTTTGTTTCGTTTGAAACTTACAGCAGCACAAGTAACCTGCTATATTCAGTTTGATTTGAAATAAGATGAAAAGCCTTGGCATTGAGTCTGTTGTTGGGTAACCTGTATGTGTGGTCATCTATATAATGCCGTACACTCATTACTACGCCAACTGGTCACTGTACATGTACAGTTCTCTTCATTCAGTCACCAAGATTCAAACAAGACAGTCTGTATCTATTATCATCTCAAGTCCTCAGATGTGCTAACAGCGTTACTGTTCTTTGAAGTCAAACGAGGTGTCCCAATATTGCCATCCTGTAGACATCATGAAAGTCGGAAAGCGGATCCCATTTTCTTACAAACCCAAATCATAGGTTAGAAACTCCAGGACTCACAAATAGAAAGTCCCATTCTGAGTAGCGAAATTAGCCTACACCCTGTTAATCGAGAAACTCCCACCTTCTTGATGACTGCCTGCCAACATCAATGTGAATAGAGGGATGTTACTCCATAATTCATGATTCGCTGATCCAGATGATTTCGCTGAGAACAGCACCGTCTGGATTAATGGGGTGTCAGAGTTGTAAGTGAAAGTAGTCGTAAAGAAAATATTATCTGTGTGTGCCTTTCTATAGTATTAGCTAATTCAAGTAACCCCTGATTGATTCTGGTCAGGCAAATTAGGTCAGTGATCCCTTTTACATTGCTAGTGACCAGCAATCAGTCAGTCCCCTGTAAACCTGATTGTGTTACCAGAAATATTATTAACCCAAAGTCACCTTAGTTTCGAAGGTTAAGAATTTCATGGATGTTTGTCCATCTTCAGACACATAGTACTTCGTCCTGCTGGTGAATGACACACAATTTTCCCCTAGTTGCAGCGAGGGAGCATCAGGACAATAATAATAAGGAGATGCTCGGTTAATCAGCATTACAGAGGCCTGACCAACTACCATCAAGTTAAAAGGTTCACAAAAGATGGGCCTGATGAGCTTATGTCCAATATCCATTTGTATCCTCCAGCTTGTGCAGCCTTGCCTTGTATAGATGTCTTCTAATGCACTGTTTATGACCAATGCTAACATAAGGGGCCTTTTGAGGTCATGTTGAAAAATGTCACGGTTCGTACTCTGACTCAAGAAGGCCTTTTCGAGTGTCAGCCTTGAAAGTCACCAACTGACTATACAAAGTGTTTCATTTGTACAAAAGGGGTAAACAATTATAAAAATCAAAGTATTAAAACTAAACAGAAATAGGTGTTGGATGTATATCGCTGTGGTACATCTAATCTAGATTTGTCAAAGACCTTCAGGAATTAAGGGTAAACATAATGAATTTTTTGTTGATTTTGAACAGATCCATTTTCAGTCCTGCTTTTTAGGTCTTCCAACTAAAATATGTAGCGTGCTGAATTTAATCAAATATTAACGAACTAAGCATAATACTAAGTTAAAAAAAACCTTGAAAATGACAGTTTAAAATTCAAGGCTTTTTTCAAAACTTTCAACTGTCATTTTCAAGGCTTTTTTCAAAACTTTCGAGTTCCATGTCTGTGGGAACCTTGTCATTTCTGTCTTTGTTCTACTCTTCTTCTGTTTTTCACAGTTCTGACAATAGTCCTGATGAGATTATTCAAGCATTAAGAAAGTGTTATTTTTTGTTCTAATAAATTTAAATATATACCTTGGATCTTAAAAATATATCTCAAGGTCCAGGAGGCT